CCTCTCTAAGCTAAGCAAAGAGTTGAGTATTATTCTTAGTGAAGCTTTTAAGCAAAATAAGTATTTTAGTATTGGAAGTGTGTTCTTCCTTTTTTGGTTTCTTGAGACATTCCCTGGGATTGAGATTGTTTGATATTACTGCGGTGATTGGGAGTGAGAGGGGTTTCTCATATCTAGGAGGTTCATAGGTAGATATTACATTAGGTGGGGATTAAATGAGAAGTGTAAATCGGGACTGTTTAGCTTCTAATTGATAATACTGATAGTGTATTTTCTTCCTGGTTTGGTAGCCCCCAAAGTAGGTGAAGTTGCACCGAACTGACTTAATAATTGATCGTGTTCTTTAAGTTACTGCAATTTACTTTTTTGCATGATCTTTCTATTTTTAGCAAGTATGTTTGTTGCCATCAGATGTTATAACATTTGTCGTGACATTGTGTTTTATTGAGACATCGGCCTTGACTTTTGTTATTGTGCGTGCCATAACTTCAAATGTGACTCTTGTCAAGATTTCGACCACCACCTCTTCCTCTACCTCCATCACCACCTCTTTGGTTGCCTTGATATTGGGGTCTTCTCTGATTTGACAAAATTCCTTCCTATTGGTTTCCTTTACCAATCGAATTGTTGGAGCCACTTATGCCTTTGTCGAACCACTTTCCTTTGTCTTTACTTTCTTTTGTTAAATGTGCCTGCAAAGCCACATCACTCTTCAACTTTCTTGTAGCCCCTTCAGTCATTCTTTGTTCATGAGATTTAAGTGTCCCGTGTAAATCTTCCTTCGACAAAGTTGATAAGTTTTCCGACTCTTCTATGTCGACTATCACATGGTCGAACTGTGGAGTCAAATATCTCAAGATCTTTGAAACAACTACTCTTGTTGTAATGTCTCTCCACAAACCTTGATTTGATTCACTAGTTTCGTAACCCTAGTGAAGAAATTAGATATGCTCTCTTTATCTTCCATTTGAACCAATTCATACATTCTTTTATGAGTTTGTAACTTCACCTGTTTCACCTTTTCTGTACCTCCAAAAAATTTCTCAAGAGTCTCCCATGCTTATTTTCCAGTTCTACATTGCTAACCTTTTCAAAATATTTTGGACTAACACATTGGTGAATTATAAAGAGAGCTTTATAATTCTTCTTCTCCAATTCTTTGTGTTCAGTCTCTTCATCATCTGAAGGATCTTTATCAAGCGATTCTAACTCATCTTTTACAAGATTCCAAAGACCTTGAAAACAAAATATAACCTTCATCTATTTGCACCAATTCTCATAGTTATCACCTTTCAGAATTGGAAGACTTGCTGAAAAATTTCAATTCGCGTAATTCATCGCCACCGTGATTTTCTCTCATTCTTCCCTTGGTCGCTCAATCGGAGCTCCTGATACCAGATGTGAGAAATCTACCAAAACCTATGGAGAATTTCTATCAACCTTGATGAACAAGATTGTTATCACTACATAATAACGATAAAAAAGTTCAAGAAGAAAAGAGATTAGGGTTTCTGCAGAGTTTCTCTCTGCTCAAAAACTGTGGAAAATCTTTATTCACTTACAACTGCAAATTCTGTAAATACTCAATTTGAATTGATTACAAAATAGGAGTTACTCCCTCTATTTATAACTGAGTTGACTTACTCCCTAAGCCAAATCTCAAAACTATAAAAACTCAAAATAACTATTTTAAACCTAAGTCGAAATACTGTTAGAAACAACATGCTTCAACACTTCGACAGCTATATACAATTTGACAGACTAGACTTTTCGACATACCTTATGTCGAGCAACATTCTACTTCTACACAAAGATTACACATTCAACAGAAACTTTGTATTAAAAAAAATCAATAAAATAATAAAATATCTAAAATAACATGTTAAGAATAAATAATCAAACTAAATTTTCATTTGAAATTTTTATAAAAAATTTATTTATATATTTTTTTTTACAAAAATTTGTAATATTATAAAAGTCTTTTTTAAAAAAAAAAACAGAATCAAACCCGCCTTTAAAAACTCATTTTCATTACCAACAATGAAAAACTTAAGTCTTTAGCTAAGAACATAAAGCCTTGGAAGACAAATGTAAATTGGGAACTAACCAAATTTCTCCAAGTCATAAAAATTAATAGAAATGAAAATGAGTGTACAAATGATGGAGATTTTAACAAATATACTAAGGGCATGTTTGTTTTACCCTAAAAAAATGTATTTTTTTTTTATTTTTTTAAAAATGAAATTTTTATAAATATTTTTTTCAAAATGTCATAAGTTTTTAAATTTATTTATTATAAATTGAAAGACTCATATCTTATAATATAAATATGCATCGTTGAAGATTAAAACATAGTCAAAATCACACTTTTTCAAAAAGATATGTCTCAAAAATAATTTTTATGAAAAATTATTTGAAATAGTTTTAAATTTAAGTAATTTTTAAAATATTGATATCTAAAAAAATAAATTTATAGCAAAATGATGAATTACATAAAATAACATTTTAAAAATAACTATTTAAACCAATTTTTTATTATAGTATTTTTTTTAATTTCTTTAAAAAAATTCAATAAAAATATATTATACAATAAAAATCATTTTTATTCGAGTATTATCCGAGTTCGTTTCTTGATAGAAATAATGTTTGACTGATTTTTTTGAAATCAATAAATCAAAATTAATTGACTAAACCAAAATAAAAAAATTTAAAAAAATTACTTAAACAAATAGGCCTTAAATGTTGCAAGTAATTAAGTTAAATTTTATCATCCAATACAATAATTATTAATATTGAATCATATTATCTAACTTAATTAAACAAAAGTTTTGATTTGAGATTTTTTGAAATATTGAAAATTAAATCAAGAAGTAATAACCACAAATTTATAATGTCATAAATGAGTTAAGAATGAGTTTCACTTATTCTACCTTAAACAAGACTTTTGCTATTGGATTTGTTTACTAAATTATTGATGTATTGAATTTATTCAGTGAATTATTATTGCATTTACTCTAACATATAAATTCTAATTTTATACACTAGATTCTTCAGTGACTTTAAAAATAAAGTTAAATTTCGAAATTTTATTAGCAGACTGCATTTTAAATTCATAAATGAATTAATTTATAATTAAATAAATAAATTATTAAAAATATAATTAAGAGTTACTCATTTCATCTTTGACTGTGAAAAATAAAAGAGAGAAATTAAAGAAAAATTACAACAACAAAAATCCACATATGATTCTTGAAATTTTCCTTTCAATAGTGTTGTAACTAGACTTCTCTATATTCATATGATAAGGCACAAGTTTCTCTTATAGAATAACCCAAAAAATACTTAAAATTAATCAAAAACACATTTTTTTAGTTATATTAAAGTGTATAGTGCACGAGAGAGAAAAACAAGGGTGTCCATGTAGTTTGAAGATGTTTGTTTGTTTTGATTTTTTAAAATGATTTTTTGTAGTGTTATATAGTTTTATTTAAAAAATTTATAAGAAATTTTTCATAAAAGATTTAAATGAAAATTTTATTTGTATTCTTCAAATATTATTTTAGGTGTTTCATTGTTTTATTTTAGGTGTTTCATTGTTTTATTGAAATTTTTTATCATTTCAGGAAATTACTTAATTTTGATTTATTTTTTTTTAAGAAAATTACGATTTCAATTTTAATAATATATGTTTATACTGTAGGATGTCAAAAATAAATCTTTCAATTAAGAAAAAAAGAATAATAAAAACTTATAATATATAACAAATATTTTTATAAAAATCATTTTTAAAAATATTTAAAAAAATCTACTTTTTAAAAAACTAAAACAACCTGGCCCAATGTAAATCGATATTTTAGTTAAAATGTGCTCCAGGGAAAAATATGGTAACAAAGTAGTGAGAGAAATGACAGTGTAATAGGTGATAACAGTGACAACATTTTCATTCATTTTCTCCGAGGATAGTTTTGCATCCATTTTTTACAACACTTGTCTTGTACTAAGAAACTCTCCCTAATTTATTATTTCATACATGTATTTCCCTCCTAATTCAGTTATATCCCCATTGTCTTTTCATATTAATATGATAGAGATATGTAGAGCTTGGAACAACGTTTGAAGGATATTTGTCTAGAGAACCGTTAGCTGTTAGATAATGTTATCGCCAAATTGCATGTATTGGTCATGCGGAACAACAATAAACGTGTGAGGACAGTGACAATTCTGTGAGGATGTTATTGTTGGAGTGTGAATGAAGGTTAGATACGAGGGAGGATCGTATGAGGCCGTTGGAGGTTTCATAATTTTCATAATTTTATCGTGCAGACAGTTATTCATGGTGATGTGCCCATGCCAGAGTGTTTCTTGAATCAGATTCAACTAACACCAAGAATGGCTCTACTGCAAAAACAGTAGTAAAAAATTCTGCCTTGCTCAAATCTCTGAAGCCATTGAGTCATCAAATTCTGCTAGGATTACTGCAGAATCATTCAGCACGCCATCTTAGTTCAAGTCACAAAGCAACAGAAATACCGCATGATAGGTTCTGTTCTATTGGCTTGAGCCACAAGCAACTCTCAGCACTTTCTCTATATACACTTGCATTAGATGAGAATCAATATAAAAGAAATGACATTGAAACAAACATGTTGGTATAAATGAATTGTTATCAGAGGGAAACTTCTCTTTCAACAGATGCAACTCTATTCTCATTATCAGAATTCGAATCTCGGACTCATGGTTAAAAGATCCAAACTACTAACACACAAAAGACCGTGTCGAAAATGCCTATATCCTTGATTTTGTGAAGCAACTCTACACAAGCAAGCATTCTATTCAAAACCTCTAATACAAAGAGACGTAAAAAGTGGAATAAATTACATTTAAAAGATTGGTTTCTTATCCTTCCATTTTTTTCAGTTGATTCTCTTGATCTCTTCGCCCCCTTGTATCATACTCATATGATCATATTCAATGAACAAAATTGAAATGTGTAATAGATTTCATAAAAAGTGGAATAGTAACTCGTTCCACGTATCAGGCACCCCTGGCAAGCACCAATGTATGCAATCAGAGTAAGATGAAGGATTCGACAACTGTTCCGGACGAAGAGGCTCCCAAAATTTTCGAAAAATCGAAGGATGACCGTCTTTTCGATACTCGGAAAGTTGAGTAACATTGAGGACAGAAACTTTTGAATTTAAACTGCTAAGGATGTTCTCTACACTGCTCATGGTAGGTAAATCAGAACCACTTCCCCAATAGCCCTCAAAGTCAATAGGATCCTTCTCGCCGTAACAGTTTCCTTCATTTCCCGGATTCCATTCTCGGCTCCTGAATGAGAAAATGTTCAGTTGAACAGTTTACAGCGATCAGCTAGTGTTTACACAAAGGAACCTTACCAGAGGTGTGTTGGGGACATGGTCACGAAAAAAATACGCTTCTTGAGTGGATCAACTTTAGAAGACACCCAATCGGCCCAGGATCCCATGGCCAACTCCATTGCTTCTTGCCCGTCTAACTTTTCGCAAGCTCCATTTTCTTCATCGGTCCATCTGCAAAAGTACGAATCAAAAGATCAACAAACAGAATAGACTAGACAAATGAATCCCTTTGAGTATCGATCAACTGATACGGACAATAGCTTAACTGGTCCTTGTCTCCACCACAAGTATGTGTTGAAAACAAGTATATCAGCATGCTCCCACAGTGATGCATGCTTCATAACTGAATCAGGACGAATTATCCGTTCATCTAGTCGGTGATTCACCGGATCATCGGAATTAGATTCAACGAGAAGAGGAGCCCAGAGGAATTCTATAGTTGCATTGTACTCCTAAAAATTGGAATAAGAATAGATGTGTGCAAGAACTGAGTATTAGGAACTACATTCAAAAACATCATAAAGAAAGTTTCAAATACGGAGTCTAATTCATACCTCGGCTCTGAAAACCGTGAGATGAGCATTTGGTGACATTGATCTCTTATCGGAAGGAATTTCTGACTGTAACAAGCATACCATAGATATCCATTGCCCTCTATTCAGAGAATCTCCGACAAACATTAGCCTTTTACCTCTCAACTTTTCCCACATTTCTTTCACATTCCACCTGTTTTAGACAAGAAATCTGTGAAATTGTGAAGCCTGGCAAATAATTTGTCACCAAAAATATAGGGCCTGTTTGGTGATATGGTTTTAAACCTGAATTTTTAACTAATCAAAAGTTTAGGTACCTACCCCCACACTCAGGAATAGATTTATGTCATGCTTTAGCTTTTAAGAACTTATTAATGTGTCTATTTTTATCTTAAATGTCAAGGTTCAACTTCAATGAGACTCTTAGAATAAGACTCTTGGAACTACAAAACTCAATCTAGGTTATGCATCAACTTCAAAAACTACTGATAAGTTGATAACCTTTAAAGTTTTATTAGGTTCATTAAAACTTAGTTTATGTTTGGTTACACAACTTAACTAAGTGCTTATAATGTATAACCTCTTTCTATAACAAAAGATAAAATAAAGTCATATTGTTTTAATATTATAGTTTTCATAAGCTATTCAGGAGAGTGTATGGAGAAAAGCTGAAAACAAATTATGGACATGTTATAAACGGTTTCCATAAACACAATCCAAACAAGTCCTCATGATGCCACCAACAAAACCACAACCTAAATATAAGGACATGTTATAGAAAGATAGAAAGCTAAAAATAGAAATCACCTCTTCAAATTGCAATCATGTGGTTGCCATCTCCAATGTTGATACCCTAGATCAGTTCTTCCATGCTTATTGCAAGCCAATTGATCAGACATATAAGGACAATCTGCCTCATTGTACAATGGATATGAAGCATTATCAAACACCCATCGACCCGAGAAAACATCGCAGCTTTTAGCACTCACTCTCTGGCGAACGGAACTCTTCGAATCACCACGCCTAGCAATTTTTCTACCAGTATACTCTGTAGTAGAGTTGCATCTACTGAATCTATCCAAAACCTCTAAAATAGTAAAATTCAAATCAAACCCATTTTAACAAATCACAAAAAAAGAAAGTCACAAAGCAAAACATACTCAAATCACAATGATTAACCTATAAAGTTCTCATTTTTAAGTCACAATGCAAATTTGTGAACCGAAAAATCCTATAAACCCATTTCAACAAATCTCAAAAAAACAAAGTCACAAAGCAAATCAAAGCCAATTCACAAAGTTTAACCTATAAAGTTCTCATTTTTAAGTCACAAAGCAAGCTTATGAACTGAAAATCCTACAAACCCATTTCAAGAAATCAGAAAAGAAACAAATTCACATATCAAATCAAACTCAAATCACAATACTTAACCTATTAAGCTCTCATTTTTAAGTCACAAAGCAAGTTTATGTACTGTAAAATCCTACAAACCCATTTCAACAAATCACAAAAGAAACAAATTGACATATCAAATCAAACTCAATTCACAAAGGTAAACTATAAAGTTCTCATTTTTAAGTCACAAAGCAAGTTTTGAACTGAAAAATTACTTACCTTGAGATTTGTTGAGGTGACTAGAGAGATTAGGTTTAACATAGATAGCTAAAGAAGCTTCTACTTGGTGAATGTGATCTGGGCTTTCATGGATTTGTCCAATTGTGCTCCCATTATGGAGAGTTGAGAATGTTATGAAGACTAATAACAAAATGACAAGAAAAGGAAAAACATGAACTTTCTTTTTGTTCCACTTCATCTTCTGCATAGTTTGTGTTGGAAGGGTTAATGGGGCTTTTTCATTTTGAATAAAGTTTGGTTCTTTGATTTGATGAGAAACTTTGAATTAGAAAATTGAAGTTTTTGAAGGATGTTGAGTAGTAGTTATTATTGGGTGTTATAATTTTTGGTTTGAGAAGTTATGGAAGAGAATGGAGTTTGACCAATTTAAACTTTAACATTTTGACATTGTTTCATGTGTAATTTGTGAGTTATGACAATTTATGGGTGTGGGATTTGTGGGGATTGGTAGTAGTTGAAACAACATAAACCTAAGATGAGATATGTTTTTGATATAGATGGAATTCAAGAATCCAACATGACTTTGACAATTGACATTATGGATTCTTAATGCTCTCCGGTTTTTATTATAAATTGCAATGGAAAAAAAATGTAATCATATATCGATCGTGTAAAGTAATTTTATATAATTAATTAATTATAATTATGTATTTAATTAAAAAATATTTTTATTTTTAAAAATGTTTAATAATATAGTAGATTATTGGATTTCTATTGGATGACCGTGTAAAATTATTTTATATATTCAATACATATTAATTAACTTTGAAAAAAAATTATAGTATTAAATTATAAGTTGTTAATGATCGTTGGATCTTAAGTCTCACATCAATTATAAATGAAAGAAATGTTTGATATATAAGAAAAAAGACTCAAACGTTTATTGTCTTATAGGTTTTGGATGAATATATAATGTCAAAGTCTTTTAGATCCTGAACGTTTAGTTTATTAATACTTACTTATGACGCACCCCGGACTCCGTAACAAGTGGAATCAGAGTCTGGTTAGGCTCGACGGAGGAACGAAAGTGGGATCCTAATAAGAATTAAGGTCAATGATGTTGGGTGAATCACACTTGTGGATGAGATCTCTAGGTGCAAGTGTGGGTGATTAAGTCCTACATTGATTATAAATGGAGGAAATGTTTGGGGAGATATATGGTATTGAGGTCTCTTGGATCCTGAATATTTAATCCATTGACACTTCTGGCACTCCCTTATCTCTCCAAAAAGTGGTATCAGAGTGTGTTTAGGCTTGGTGGTGGAGCAGGATGTTGAGATCCAAATGTGAGTTGGAAATCCCACATTGCTTAAAAAAATAAAGGTTTAACACTTTATAAATGAGTGGATCTATGTACCCAATGCCTTAAGGTTTTGAATGAAAATATATTGTCTCACTCACTTGTGTGTTGCTTTTGACACAATATATATGCTCTTCATCATAATTCAGAATCATAGGTTCACTCTTGTCATCAAGCTTCCTTCTTCTCGCATCAGAAACATGCTTGTAACAAATAGAGCCAAACACCTTCAGATGACTCAGTGATGGTCGTTTATCACTCCATACTTCTTCAAGAACCTTGTTCTTCAATTTCTTGGTAGGGCACCTGCTCAGAATATAAACAACAGTGGAAACAACTTCATCCCATAAGGATTTTAGCAAATTCTTTTGCTTCAGCATGCATCTCGCCATATTCAATATGGTCATGTTTCTTGTTTCTATAATTCCATTATGTTGAGGCGTGTAAGAAGCAATTATCTCATGATCACGCCATGTTCTGCACAGAACTCCTCAAACATCTTGGATGTATAATTGCCACCTCCATTTGTTTGCATAATCTTGATCTTCTTTTCACTAACCTTGATCTTCTTTTCACTATGGTTTTTGACAAGTATCTTGAATCTCTTAAAGATTTCAAATACTTCGTCCTTTTGCTTGATCACATAGATCCGTAGCTTTCGACTATACTCATCGACAAATGAGAAGAAATAATTGTTTCCACCAATGATATGCTCCTCAAAAGAACCACATGCATTTGAATGTACAACTTCGAGTATGCAGGAGGATCTCATTGGTATAGTCGAAACGAAAGACTTCACAGAGTTTGTCGAGCATAACAACATTTGTTATACCTGTTATCATATCTTGAGTGATCAGTTGATTGAGTGACCTAAAATTCAGATGGTCAAACCTCAAATGTCACAACCAACTATTCTTGTGGTCGACAACTGTTTTCAGATATTGTACCTCAGACGGACTGATCATGGTCTTAAATGTCTTATTCTTTGACATAGGAGATCTCAAGACCAGATTATTATGTGTGTCGAACAGTTCCAATGCTCCATCTTTCATAACCACTGAAAAACCTTTTTCGACCAGTTGTACAATGTAACACCCCAATTTTATTTATTAATTATTTTTATTATTTATTTGCCATGTTAATTATTAATTAGTTTGATAATTATTTAATTATTTGATTTTGTGTGATTATGTAAATAATTGATTTAATTGAGAATATGTATGTATTATATGTTATTGGTTGAGTGTGAGAATAAAGAAATACACATCTGGACCTTATGTTACATTAGAGTTGGTGAGTGGAGTTAAGCCCATTTAGAGTTAGTGAGAGTTGAAAAAATAAGGAAAATATAGAATTAGAAAGAGAAAGTGAAGAAAACAAGAGAAAAGAAGAAAGAGGAGAATAGGAGAAAATGAGAAGAGAAGAGGATAGAACCCTAGAGTATCTACATCCAAGGTAAGGGTGGGTATTAATTGATTTATGGGTGTATGTAATGGTATGTGATAGGTAGTAATATGACATTAGGGATTTATTCTTCAATTTCTAAATTTTGACATGTTAGGGTTTGAACATAGAATTACGAAATTGATGTTGGAAATCATGTTTTGATATTTGTATGTGATGTTATATGTTAGATCTAGGTTATAATACATTTAATTGGTGAAATATATGTGTTTGAATGGGATTTGGATGGACAAATTTGTGGGAGGCAGAAGTTGTACGTAGCAAAAAATTTCTGCATTTCACGGAAACCGCTTAGCGTGCGTGGGGCCGCTTAGCGCGGTCTGGAGTGTAAAATTTCTTATTTTCTGAAATTGTTCTGGATTATAGATGCTTATGATTTATCATTGAATTATATGAATTTTAATAATTTATTCGATGTGTTTTGGATTGGTTTTAGATGACTTTTGATGGGAAACATTGATGCGTCTGCAAGTGCACGGAAATATCGAAGTAATATAAAAGATTGTGAACCCACAGAGACCAATGTCAACCTACTGTAATTTATCGTTGTTTTGTAAAGCTAAGGCTATGAATATTGGATTAAAGGGAAACTAAGAACTAAAACTGAAAATAAAATGAAGATTAAGACAAATATAATAAAAGAGAGGTTGGAATATGGATCCCGTGCGCCTTAGGGACTTTGTAACTCATTGGCGATAATTTGCGGTTAAATTATATTCAGTAGAAAATACCATTTTAAAGACTCTATCTCACACTCTCGCGCTATTGAATAAAGTCACACTCCTTAACCACAGGATTTTGCTCTTGCTCGCCCGTTTTAATCAAAAAGCATATTTTGGAACCTGATAAGATCCTAACGATGCCTAAAGCGCTCTCGCTGTTTTTAGGATCGATGCCCCCTTTATTTTATTTTCGTATTTTATTTTCAACATTAGTAGCTTTCAATGAAAAAACCATAACTCGAGTTACGGGAATCGAATTGGTGCATTCTGATATTCGTTGAAAACCTAAGACAAAGAGATACAACTTTCATGTTGGAGTCAAAAACTGATTCGGGGTGAATAAGTCCCAGTAATTCGTTGAAGTTTCTGACTTTAGAAATAAAGTTATTTTGGGTCATTTTGTACGGGTCTGGGTTATGTTTCCGACCTAGTTCGTATTGTAAGTGAAACCCTTATTATTTTAAAACACTTATGGTCGCGGTACTGTTCATGAGAGAATTTTGATGAAAAAATATATTGGCTTGTACGAATTTTTCACGAGGAACTATTCCTAAGGGGAAATCTTCCGGAGTCGAATTCCATAAACTTTGTGGTTTTTATCAATTTCAATAAAATTGCTTATTCCTTTCAATATTATGCTCTATATCTTGATTGCTTAATTCAAGTTCTATAGGATAAATATTGATTTAATTTGATGATTGTGTGTTCCTATAATTTAATCGTGTTTGCTTAATCCATGTAATCGTGTTTGCTTAATTCACGATACTTTAATTCGTTTGCTTAATTCAAAATTAGGAATTTACATCTTGTAGTGTGAATTGCGCTTGTTAATTCAATATTGCAATCGAGTAGGAATTGAAATTGTTCAGGGAATTGGAATCATATTGACCGATGATAAGTTGTAAATCGAACCGGCATATTAACATGTTATAATCACTTGTTTTATAATCACTTATTTTCTATGTTCTTTGAAATCAATACTAAAACCATAAACCCTCACAATCATTTATGTTGGTTAATAACAATACAAGAATCCTCGTGATACAATACTCGAGTCATTATTGCTAACTACCGTTTTTAAAATCACTCGTGTTGATCTGTGTGCGATAGTGGATCAGGGTGCACCTATTTTGTTGGTTAAGAAGAAAGAAGGTTATATGAGGTTATGTGTGGATTATAGACAACTGAACAAGGTGACTATCAATAATAAGTATCCACTTTCGAGGATTGATGATTTGATGGATTAATTGGTGGGTGCTTGTGTTTTCAGCAAGATATATTTGAGGTATGGGTATCATCAGATTCATGTGAATACTGAAGATATTCAGAAGACTGGTTTTAGAATAAGGTATGGTCACTATGAGTATTTTGTGATGCCATTCGGTGTGACCAATGCACTTGGTATATTTATGGAATATATGAACATGATTTTTCATCAGTATTTGGATAAGTTTGTGGTTGTTTTCATTGATGATATTTTGATCTATTCAAAGAGTGAAGAGGGTCATGTTGAGCATCTCAGGATTGTGTTATCTGTGTTGAAAGAGAACCAGTTGTATGCTAAGTTTTCTAAGTGCGAGTTTTGGTTGAAGGAAGTGAGTTTCCTTGGTCATGTGATATCAAGTGGTGGTATTTATGTTGGTCCATTGAAGATTGAGTTTATGTCTCAATGGGAAGCTCTGAAATATGTTTCTGAGATTA